GGGGGAGCACCTGCCAGCTGAGCGCCACAGTGGGAGGAGAAGGGGGGGGTGAGCAAATTGGCCGGCAGGGAGCGGGACTGACCTGGGCACTCGCTGCCTGTCCCACGCAGGCTCCCGGTGACGCACGAGCGAGGAGGAGGCTTCCCCTCCTCCTCACACTCAACCGACTGAGGGCTCCCGGTGGCAATCATGGCCCCGCCTCCCAGCCACCTGCCAGCTGAGCGCCACAGTGGGAGGAGAAGGGGGGGGTGAGCAAATTGGCCGGCAGGGAGCGGGACTGACCTGGGCACTCGCTGCCTGTCCCACGCAGGCTCCCGGTGACGCACGAGCGAGGAGGAGGCTTCCCCTCCTCCTCACACTCAACCGACTGAGGGCTCCCGGTGGCAATCATGGCCCCGCCTCCCAGCTGGGACTCCCAGCCGCTCCCCCCACCCACGCCAGGGTTCCGTCCGGTGCACAGCTGGAAAAATCAGAAAATACCGGACATTGCACATTGCACATGTCCAGTATTTTCTGATTTTTTTTACCGGAGAAAGCGCGCAAATACCGGGCTGTCTGGTACAATACCGGACACCAAGCAACCCGAATAGTAACTGAGTTAGGTTACGAGGGGTCGGCCCAGCCAGCATGGGCTAGTTCTAGTTAGTTCTGTGTTATGGAACAAATGGACACTTGCAGCTGCTTCCAGCTCTCTGTGTTTCCAGTGATTTCCTTCTAGACTCTTAACTCCAAACATATAACAAAATGGCAATGAGGGTGGGAGGCCTGTGCTGACTCCAGCAAAAGAAGTAGTAGAAGTCAACGTAAGAAAACAAACCTTTTTGCTGTTCTGGAAGGTGGGGTGAGAACTGACTGCTACACGGACAGTGCAAGCTACAACTAAAACCAGTGAAGCCCAGAGGAGAGGAGAGGAAGAGAGGAGAGGAGAGGCATGGCTACACTTACAGGGCCAGTGGGACCTTTGGAGGAGACTATAGAGTAATGTCATGTATATACTGAGTGTTCTGAACTTTTTGTTGTTGCAAATTACATTGAGGGAGAGAAGAAGGTGCCAATATTCTTAAGTGCTGTCGGGGCTAAGACCTACTCTCTGCTACACAGTTTGCTGCTCCCTATTAAGCCAGAGACCAAATCTTACAGTGCCACTGTGGAAATCCTGGGGTCACATTATGCTCCCAAACCGTTGGTAATTGCAGAAAGGTCTAGGTTCCATAACAGAGACCAAAAAGAAAGTGAAACAACTGTACAGTTTGTAGCAAATTTGAAAAAGCTTGTGGAACACGGTGAATTTAAGGAGATGTTAAATGATGTGACAGGTTAGCATGTGGCCTGCGCAGTGAAGCTATATGGAAGCACCTATTAACTGAGGCTCAGCTCACCCTACAAAAGGCTGTTGACATTGCAGTCTCCATGGAACTGGCCACATGGGAGGCGCAATACCTCAGTGCACCGTCTAGGATGCACACAGTGTCCCAAGAACCTACCCACAAAACAGTGGAGAGCCAGGAATGTTACCGCTGTGGTGAGCTGAGTCACCATGCATCAGAACACTAGTGCAAGGACCTAGTGTGTCAACGGTGTGGGGAAAAAAGACACGTTGAGCGTGCCTGCAAACCAAAGAAAAAAAGGCCTATGGTCTGGCGAACCAAAAAGGAAAATCTGCATACCCTCGAGGAGACGCAGGATGATCAAGGTGACGCCCCGTCTGAAAAAGCAGCGTCTTGCTATGTTTTGTCTTTAGCAGAGGGCTCCCATGAATACGGGGTAACCCCATTGTTGGGCGACAAACCTGTATGCATGGAACTGGACAGCGGTGCAGCAGTTTCATTGGTCTCAGACAGCCTGTATAAGCTAAAGCATCTTCCGCTTAAGGCGACAAGGTTCGTTCTGAAGACACATACGGGAGAAGCAGTACCCCTGGTGGGCGCTCCTGATGTTAAGGTGGCGCTTAATGGACAGACTGCAGAATTACTACTATTTGTGGTGAAAGGCCATTAATGGGGAGATATGGATAGATCATGGCTTAGGAAGATCCAGCTGAACTGGGCAGAAGTGCTCCAGATGACTAATGAAGAAACAGGTCTGACTGATGTACTAAAGAAACATGCTGCTGTTTTTGGAGAGGATGTGGGAAGTACGAGGGGAATCACCATGAAACTGAACATTAAACCTGGCAGCCACCCAAAATATCTGAAGGCCAAAACTGTGCCAGATGACATCAGGCCAAAAGTTGAAGCAGACTTGGAGCACCTAGTCAAAAATGGAGTCCTAATACCAATTACCCATAGTCCATGGGCAACTCCAATAGTTCCAATATTGAAAAAAAGATGGTTCCATTCCGATTTGCGGAGATTTCAAGGTCACTGGTAACCCAGTGTTGTGTGCAGAGCAATACCGTCTTCCCCGCATCCATGAATTCTTTGTGGGCCTGGCGGGGGAACAAAAGTTCAGCGAGACTGATCTGAGTCAAGCATATTTACAGATGCATGTTAACGACAAGTCCCAAGAGCTGTTGATTATTGTGATGCTAAAAGGGCTTTATCGTTACTGTTGTTTACCCTTCAGAATAACTTCTGCCTCAGCTTTGTTCCACAAGGCTATGGACCAGATTTTGGGTGGCTTGCCAGGCGTCCAGTGCTATCTTGATGACATCCTGGTCAT